GGGATCATGACCTGAGCCGAAGGCAGACGCTTAATGACTGAGCCACCCAGATGCCCCCACAGCTTTATGAATTTAAAAAGCCTATTTAATACTCACCTTTTCTCTTACTCCCCCATGAATCGTTATTGTTATAATTTCATAAAATGTTATCACTTCCCGTTTTGTTGAGAGTAAGTGCAGAATATGTAACATGAGGACCCTTGTTTCTGTGATGTTTATGATGACAGAACTTCTAGTTCTAATATTTCAAGCAGCAAACATGCATCCAAAGTTGGCCTCATCAGAATTGCTAATGAGCATAACTTTAAACCCTTCATAATCTTTGACGGTTTGGTGAAGCTCGCTGACACCATTTTTTCCCCTCAGAGATACTCTTTGTCTGTCACTTATATCCGTGGTACTCGTGAGAAGGCTTGCCTTTATTATTTTGAGTTATTGGTATATTGCTCTTCAGACGCTAAAAGGACAAAAACTGGTGAGAATCAAGTAGGGGATACTCTTTATATTAACTTTGGTTTGCCTGAGTTTTCTGTGTAGTCAAAGCCATCTGCAAACACGGGGCTGGTATGCAGCTGGGTATCACGACGAGGAGAAACACACGTTCTTGTCTTCTCCCAAATGTTGTCTCTGTTTACAAACTTCATGAGCATAAGTAGGAAGAAGAACGTATAGGAAGTTGTGTTTATAGTTATTCATAAACGAAGGTAGTCATCAGAGAAAGGGCTTTAAACCGCAGGGAAAGATCCTCACACATTAGAGGTAAAGTATCAGTGAAGTTATGAAAACTATGTTTTAAACCATTTGTAAAAAGAAAGCGGAACTCAATTTCTCTCAAATGTTCTAGAAGGTAAAACAAAACCAGTCGCCACAGTTTTGTTTTGTTTTTTTAAGATTTTATTTATTTATTTGAGACAGAGAGAATGAGAGAGACAGAGAGCACATGAGAGGGGGGAGGGTCAGGGGGAGAAGCAGGCTCCCCGCCGAGCAGGGAGCCCGATGCGGGACTCGATGCGGGACTCGATCCCGGGACTCCAGGATCATGACCTGAGCCGAAGGCAGTTGCTTAACCAACTGAGTCACCCAGGCGCCCCAGTTGCCACAGTTTTAATGACGGCTGACATTTGCTACGTTCTCCCTAGATGCCAGGTATCATGCTGAGTTTGATACGTGACTTATCTTGTTCCATCCTCCTTAACCCTGCAAGGTGGCTGCTATTCTTTTCCTGTCTTATGGTTGGGGAAGCTGGCAGAGGGAGTTTAAGAAATGTGCTCGAAGCCACAGGGCTGGTGAATGATGGAGCAGGGTTCTCATGCTTTCTTGTCGGGCTTGGTCACTGCAAGAGGCTGATTCTCTCATGGATTACAGGTGTCGGTGAGGCAGATCATTCACTTCATTTTTTTCTCTTAAGTTATTAATTCATTAAGAATTAGATTTATTTCCTCCACAAGAATGTGACTTTTTCTTGGTATTTCCATATTTCATTTTATTTCACTTGATACCTTGACAGCTTTTTCTCCCTCCTTTTCTTGGCAAGGTCAAGAATTTTGTTTTGTTTTGTTTTGTTCTGTTTGGGCTTTTTGCTTAATTTTAATTTTTTTTTTTTTTTAAAAACTGAGCTTTATGCCGAATGTGGGGCTTGAACTCACGACCCCAAGATCAAGAGTCGCACGCTCTACCTACTGAGCCAGCCAGGCGCCCCAAGAATTTTCTTTTTAATGTAATTTGTTTTCCTGTTAGGTCAAGACTGACTCTGTAAAGTAAGCAGAAAGAATATTATTATTTCTTAATTATTAACTTTTAGTTAATAATTTCATTTTTCCTTTAGTGCTGTGATTCTAGAAAAATTGTACTGTTAAATCCATTTGTTGGCCTAACCATCATCACCCTCCTCCTGTTGCTAAGGAAACTGGGCAAGAGAGAGCCTGTAAATTTCAGCTCTCATCTATTATACTAAAATCAGTACTGCTGTGAAAAAGGAAGTACATCCCCCCTTATGGTCTGAAGTCATTGTCAGGAGTGGAGGTTATGGGAGGCGAACAAGAATGTGTTACAGGGTGTGGATTCCTTGCAGGTAGAGCACCCTCCTCCTCCTCTTCCTCCCCAGGCAAACTGGAGCGGGGGTTTGAAGGCTGGCCAGGCAGCCACATGTGCAGAGGTTAAGTGTGGGCCCCGACTGTCTGGGTTCAGTCCCACTTGGGTCACTCAGTGACTGTGACTTTGGGTAAATTACTTAGTCTCTGTGTACCTCAGTTTCCTCAGCTGTAAAATGCACTGATAATAGTACTTCCCCCATCACACAAGGGTGAAATCTATGTGTCGTGTTTAGCATGCTATCTGGCATATAGTCAAGCACACGATGTGAACGGTTACAGTTTGTCGTACTGTCATTCAGGGGTTAACATGGCCTCCCCGCGAGGCGATGAGACAGCAACACCAGTCTGTGCCTCACGTGGTGACTTGTTCAGGCTCGGACAGCTGGGCCGCGGGGGACCCGAGGTTTGGTCCACGCAAGAGGTCTCGTGATTGCACCGGTCGCGCTGTGGACCTTGGAGCTCCCCCGCCCTCCTCTTCGTGTGGACAGTCTCCTAACTGGAGGTCAAGCTGCTCTGGCCATATGTCTTGTACAATGTTTGACATATGCCCCCCTGCATCATCGGGCTCTGCAGCAACAGGGCTCATGTGTTTGCAAGCCCAGAAATCTTGAGTCACCCCAGTCCAGGCCTACCACGTGTATGGGCATACTGCATTCTAGAGGCCAAGAAAAAAAAAAGGCGCTGAGGATCTAGGCTGTGCCTGTAAGAACTTGTTCTGCAGACCAGATGAATGCACAGGAATGAACGTGCAGAGGAAGGAATAAATAGGCAGGAAACAAGCTAACTCCTGGCTCTCCCGATCCCCAGCTGTGTGACATCAGACAGACAAAAAATGGGGACATAATTGTGTGCTACCCAGGCTGTGTGTATATGTTTTATTTTTCAGCTTTACTGATGTATAATCAACAAATATTGTATACATTTAAGGTGTACAACTTGATGTTTTGATATACAATGTGAAAGAATTGCCACAATCAAGCTAATTAACTTATCCATCACTTATTATTACTCGTTTAGCCTTTTCCTTTTTCTTTTATTTTTTCTCTTCCTTCCTTCCCTCCCTCCTTCCCTCTTCCTTCCTTCCCTCTTCCTTCCTTCCTTCCTTCTTTCCTTCCTTCCTTCTTCCCTCCTTCCCTCCCTCCCTCCCTCTCTTTCTCTCTCTTTCTTTCTTTCTTTCTTTCGATGCTTAAGATCTACCCTTATAGAAAATTTCAAATTTACACTATAGTATTATTAACTATAGTCACATTGCTGTACATCAGATAGACCTCTAGAACTTAGTCATCTTGCATAATTTGTGCCCTTGACCACCATCTCCCCATTTCCCCCATCCTCCAGCCCCTGGCAAACAGCACTCTCTGCTCCTATGAATTTGGCTGTTTCAGATCCCACACATAAGTAAGGCCTCTGTGTCTGGCTTATTTCACTTAGCATAATGTCCTCTAGATTCTTTTATGTTGTCATAAAAGGCAGAATTCCTTCTTTTTAAAGGCTGAATAGTATTCCATCATATATATATTTGTTACGTATATATTTTAGGTAATATGTGTGGATTATGCCAACTGCACAAAAAAGTAATTAGGTTCTTACATGCTTTCAAGTTAGATGGGGTGGGCTAAGAATCTATTTCCAGTAATTTTATTTGCTGCTTTTATGCTGTTTTATTTTTAGGGCATTGCTCCCAAAATAGAGTTTTCTACAAGGACAGCCATCAGAGAACGAGTGTTTCTGCAAAGAAACAGATTTTCTGTAAGTATAACCAAGAAGCCAGTGATAGGACTGTCATGAATTTTCTCCACAGATTTAAAGAATTTCAGCGCAAACTTGGTTACCAAGTTTAGATGGCAACTGGATGAATAGAAACCTGGAGATTTATCACTAGGTTTGAATTTCTATATTCAGACTATTTGTTCAGCCTATCACATTAGAGTGAGTGTGTTTGACATGTATTCATCATGGTATAGTTGGTGGAACAGGGGATATAAAAGCTAAAATCACAAGTTTGACATAAGTAGGCTTGTTTCCCTGACTGGACTCTGACTACTGTCAAGATAGCTTTCTTGTTATTGTTTCACGACTTTTACTCTTGATCTTTTGAGTAACAGTGTTCCTTCTTTCTTTCGCTGAGGCCACAGCTCAGAGTTGTATTTGTGGGTCCTCTAGGCCTTGGGGCATCCTTGAGCACCCCCTCCATTTCACTGTCATGTTCAGCCCTAATTTCCCTGTCACTCTGATTGCTTTCGGCCTTTCTTTTTACCTTGTTGTACATAATTTTTAATGATTTAAAATCCTTTGTAGAACAATATGGAAAATGAATGAATGTAATTTGTAAAGCTCCTTCAGGTACTTTGCTTGTCATCCCAAATCTTGCTTGGTGTCTTGGAAAATCCTTGGAAGTGTAGGCTGTGGGTTAGGGGTACTGAATGCAAAGGGTCACTAATCTGTGCAAAGCCATCAATCCTCTGGGCATCATAACT